TGTTGGATCTTCCACTTGGTGCAGAGTTTGTTTCCCAGTTAATGTCGGAGTAGTTAAAATCCCCCATTACTATTGTGGTATGCTTCCTACATACCTTAGTTAGCTGACTAGCAAAAAGTTCATCTACTTCCTCTGCTTGGTTGGGTAGCCTGTAGTATAGACCTATGGCAATGTCATTCCCCCCCAACCTTTAATATTGACCCAAACGCTTTCAAGATAATTAATATCTTGCTGATATGTAATAAGAATACCTGCAAATTAGTTGCATCTTGCCTTGAATTTCAATAGGGAAGGAAGATATGATATAAATATAATAAAATCATTTCATGCGCACACCCCCAAACAAAACAATAAACCAGGACTTCTGCTTTATTAAATGGTATTGTGCCCCCACAGCCTATTCATTCACTTCCTCTCCCTGAGTTGATGAACATCCTGCCCAGCTGAATGTTAACAAGAACCTGGGATTAAGGTTAAATATGTCTAAAAAGCCAGATTTTGTAAAATAACAGTGATCCCTGGTTTATAAATCTTCTTCTTTGTAATCCCTGGTTTAGAGACAATATTGTGCTAAATGTATATGATTACTTTATCCATTTACTGTCCATGATGCTTGCCAAGGATGCACTGTGCAGATTATAGTTTAGTAAGCCAAAATTCCTAACTTGTTCGGTATGACGGTACATCATTATGTATGGATCGATCGATCAGAATACAGAAGACAATAATAAAAACCGCCTATAACGTAATAGAGCAAGTAAGAAAGAAAAGACAGTTCCTATTTCTGTATCATCTCTACAGATCCATATATCCTGTTCTCAATTGTGCTCTTTTAGTAAAGATAATGCTGTCTGGGGAATTGTGGGAATTGTAGTCCACAAGTTGCCACGGTTGGACACTCCTAGCCTAAACCCACTTACCTTTCTTTGTTTTCCCAAATCCCGCCATTCAGGGCTTCTAAGGGCTTCCAAATTGTTTCAGAAAGAAGCCTGGCATCTTTCTGCCATCATCATCGTCAGGCTAGACCCGGGATGGCGAACCTGTGACGTGTGTGCCAGAGGCTGCACACAGAGCCCCCTCTGTGGGCACACGCGCCATCACCAGCTCCTCTTTTGGTTTCTGGCGCACACATGCACACTAGCCAACTGGCCTTCAGATTTCCAGCTCTCAGGCACACATGAAGACCAGCTGTCCAGTAGGCATGCGCACACCGGAAACCCAAAAACCAGGTGGCTGGTGCATGCATGTACACTGGCCAGCTGGTCTTTGAGTTTCCGGCACGTGCGTTCTGATTTGGGCACTTGGTGCCGAAAAGTTTCGCCATTACTGAGCTCGACTTTTATTTCTTGACCGCTGCTTTTAACTGCAGGATCCCTCTCCCTTTCCTGTGTTTGTTTTTCAAGTGATCCGCATGTCCCTGGCCAGAAGAAAATGCTGACAGCTCTTTCTGTCCCGCGCTGAACAATAAGCTCTACTCGGCACCCTGATTGGATGAGCCGGCGGGAGAGAAAAGTTGGAAGCATTTGTTAGCCAGGCGGGACTCAGTTTTATGTGTATTCCTGTTTTCAGATCCCTCCTGAGTGACCTTCCTTACTGGTGGTCCCATTACCAGTGGTTCACCAACTGGAGAGGGCTACTGTTGATTAATGCATCTGTTTTGGAGATGAAGAGCTGGTGTAGCTCGCAGGAATTAGAATAGAATAGAATAGAATAGAATTCTTTATTGGCCAAGTGTGATTGGACACACAAGGAATTTGTCTTTGCTGCATATGCTCTCAGTGTACATAAAAAAAAAGATACATTCATCACGAATCCTAAGGTACGAGCAATCAAAACATATTAGGAAACAATCAATATAAATCATAATGATACAAGTAACAAAGTTACAGTAATACAGTCATAAGTGGTGGGAGATGGGTGATAGGAATGATGAGAAGATTAATAGTAATAGTAATGCAGCCTTAGTAAATAGTTTGACAGTGTTGAGGGAATTATTTGTTTAGCAGAGTGATGGCATTCAGGAAAAAAAAACTGTTCTTGTGTCTAATTGTCTTGGTCTGCGGTGCTCTATAGCATCGTTTTGAGGGCAGGAGTTGAAACAATTTATGTCCAGGATGCGAGGGGTCTGTAAATATTTTCACGGCCCTCTTTTTGACTCGTGCAGTGTACAGATCCTCGATGGAAGGCAGGTTGGTAGCAATTGTTTTTTCTGCAGTTCTGATTATCCATTGAAGTCTGTGTCTCTCCTACTGGGTTGCAGAACCAAACCAGACAGTTATAGAGATGCAGATGACAAGACTCAATCATTCCTCTGTAAAACTGTATCAGCAGCTCCTTGGGCAGTTTGAGCTTTCTGAGTTAGCGCAACTGGCCATTGCCATATTATTTGCCGTGCACTTTTAAGGATAGCACGGAAAGACAACAGGTAATCCTTGATTTACGACAGTCCATTTAGTGATCATTTGAAATCACAAAAGGAGTGGGGAAAAAAGTGACTTGTGATGACAATTTTTCACCCTGATGACCGTTGCAGCTTCCCCAAGATCACGTGATCAAAAATCCAGAGGCTTGGCAAGCTTAACTCATACTTACGACGGTGGCAGTGTCCCCGGGGTCACGGGATCCCCTTTTGCGACCTTCTGACAAGCAAAGCCAATTGGGGTGGGGGGGTGGGGAAGCCAGATTCTATGAATAACCCCGTGATTCATTTAATAGCCGCAGTGACTCACTAAACAACGGTGGCAAGAAAGATCGTAAAAAGGGGGCAAATTTAACTTGACAAAATGTTTCACGTTTGGGCTCAATTGTGGTCGTAAGTTGAGGACGACTTGTATTTAAGAAACAGCTGGGACGGTCGTCAACCTTACAGCTGCGAATGTAAAGATGCAACAATCCACAAAGAGCACACGCAGGGGACTAAAGACCGTACGGGCAAAGTACCAGCGGTCAGCTTAATTTCGAAAATTGGATTTTTGTTAAGAATTTCCCTTTGCTGAAGAGAAAGGCAGAGGTGAGGCTCTCGCCTGCCTGCCCTTCCCTTCCCTCTGACCCTGCAAACAGCTGCGTTTGACTGCTTTGCCATGTGATCTTTAATCTTGAGAGAATATGACCTCAAAACAGAAAAAAAGAAAGCTGCTCACTTCGCCGCCCCTCTTTTCTTCCTTGATTTTCCGCAGAAGCCCTGCCAGCTTTCACTGAATTCGAACCTGATCTCAGCATACTTAAAAAAAAACAAAATTGCCATCTGTTTCCCAGGTGCTGCTACCTTGACTACGTCTTGACCGTTGGGTCTGAAATCTAGCGATTTATCACGGATCGCCTGTCAAAAGGAAAAAAAAAAGAGTTTTCAGTCTCTTTGTAGAATTATTTTTTCTCTTTGCTGTTGGGGCACGGTGATTGTTTCGCCCTCCGTTTTCAAAACTTAACACCTGCAGTCTTCCTTTCTGAAACTGAGGAGTAATCCACAGGCATTCAAATCTATTAAAAGCTTCTGCATTTTTAGGGTCTGGCGGGGGGGTGGGTGGGTACATCAGACAGTTGCCGTGACTTGGGCGACTTTTCAAATCTAAATTATAAATAATAAAGGCAATGCAGATCTAATAAAGTTCCATGCAGAATTGTCAACTTCATCTTTCCTTTAGAATAGATTCAGTCTGCCGTGTGTGTGTGTGTTTGTGTGTGTGTGTAAGAGATCCGTGTATTAAAATGGCCAACATTTTCTGCTGGATGTGCACGTGGGCCTGGGGGTATTTTCCCTATTCTTTCCCCACGGGGAAAGGTAGCCCATCAAAAGCCATGGTGGTGCAGTGGTTAGAATGCAGTACTGCAGGCTACTTCTGCTGATTGCCAGCAGTTCGGCAGTTCGATTCTCACTGGCTCAGACTTCCATCCTCCCGAGGTTGGTAAAATAAGGACCCAGATTGTCTGGGGGCAAGATGCTGACTCTGTAAACCGCTTAGAGCAGGCTGTCAAGCGGTATATAAGTCTTAAGTGCTATTGCTACCCGAAAGTTGTTCCTGTTTCAGTAAATTTGCAATCATCCAGATCATGGTTGTCCCAAAGGTGCTTTTTCAAGAGGCAACTGAACTCTTTCTTTGTTTTTCCTTGAAGACATTTCGCTTCTCATCCAAGAAGCTTCTTCTGTTCTGGCTGAATTGGGACTGATCACTCTGAATGAGAACTGAAGAAGCTTCCTGGACGAGAAGTGTAATGTCTTCAAGGAAAAACGAAGAAAGTCCAGTTGCCTTTTTGAAAAGTGGGGGGACATTTCATTTTCAGTAATGCTGGGCTGGGCTGTGTGTGACTCTGACCGCATTCTGCAATGTTTCCTGTGATAAGCATGGCACCCCCTCTTTCTGTTGGAATGACCATGGTTACTTTTCTTTCTCCTGGCAGGAAGAGTTCTTGGGCTTCCATTCAGAGGACGACGCTTTTCAAAGCTCGCTGCGTGCTGCTCTAAGATCTAAAAGAGGTAAGGAATCCCTATAGGCATCGATGGGTGGCTTGGGTCCTATCTGGCAAACAAGAACTTCAGGGTTGGGCATGGGCCAAACACAAAAGATTCTCGTGAGAATCGCCTGGCCTTCTCACTTAATATCTTTGCCAGCGTTCCAAATATCATCCAGAATTAAATCAGAGTTCAAGGCATAGCTTTCATCAAAGTTCCAATTTAATAAGAGAGACATGTTGGTACAAACTGTGGAAACCCGAATCTGAAAGCTTCCTGGGTTTCCACCCAGTTGAAAGTTCAAAACCTTGCCCCCACAAGCCCATCATATGGTCCAATCTTCCACTGCCACGCTGGCA